AATTATTTATTATAATTTAAAAATTTTAAACACAAGTGCCGGTAGTGCATACGTTTATTAATTAATAAATAATTTATCACTTTTGCACTAAAGTTTACAGAAAGAAGCATCATATAATTCTATATATATATATATATTATCAAAAACTTCCACTCTCCGAAAGGAAATGTATGTTTCCCTGAACGAACGAACTAACTACTTTAGAAAATACACATTAGTGAACCAGATCGAGCTCACCACACTAGTCTGTAAATGAAAAACCTAACTTCTGTTGCCTCAACGTGAAGCTATGGAATTAATAAATGTAAGTACTATCCATAATTTTCTAGCAGTATTTGGTGTATAACAAAGAAGCGAGGAATAATGCAGAATAATAGAAATACCTGAGATAGCTCGTAGGAAGATACACATTTTGTAAGCACTTAAGATAATCAGTTCCTAAGACATAATGTATATAAGGAGCCACCTTCCAGAGCTGCTTGAACCACGAAACTCCCCTTCAATATTGGTTGTCATATCCTAGCAGCAAAGATGAGCTTGATATTGACCAAAAGTCAGCATTAGGAGTGTACTAATACATACATATATATATATAAAAGAAATTTATTTGCGCAAGTGCCTCTTCAGAAAGCATAAGCAAGTTTTCTACGACGTATTCGTATATATATATATTTAAAAGCATTACAATTTAGCGTGAGTTAGCAATGCACAGGTTTCAGTATAGTAAAAATATGGTAAAAACAGCCATTTTTACACCGTAAATTGTGAGCAAAACTTTTGGAAAGTTCCTGTAAAAAACAATATTACTGTTTCAACATACGAACTGATATTGCCTGCAGGTATCAAGTACCAGGTTGTTTACTTGTTTGTTGTTAAGTGTAAAGCTACACAATGGATTAGCTGTGCGGTGTCACCACGAGTATCGAAACCCGATTTTTAGCGGTGTGAGCTCTTCGACTTACCGCTGAGCCACTAGGAGGCACTACTAGACTAATAAAAAGATGTAATTCTAAACACAAGTCACCTAAAGGCAACATATATAATAAGACAGAATATTGATAAAATTCCTTAAAATATACATAGCTTGTCCGTTATTTTCGGGAAAATTTAATCTATACTATAAATCAGCTTGTATCTCTATGTCTTTACGAAAATGTTCCAAATTCCCGATCTCTGACCACCAAGAAACTTTAAAGTGGCCATTTTCACAATTTTGCAGGTTTGGTAGACATTTCAATTTTGCATCTTCTTTGCCTACTTCCCTACCTCCGATGATCACGAAACTTCCAGATGTTCTAGGGTATGGCTCAGATTTCCACAAAACCTAGAAGTACATGGTAGATAATATACTACAATAGTTTTACTAATATAAAGATGCTAGCCAGTATGAGTTAGTTCTTAATATATATATATATATATATACCAGCATTCATTAGACGTCCATGGTGAATGGTACACATGCACGCCGTTCACCATTTCATGAAAGCAATGAAACAGTTATTAAGATCACTGTTTTTTTTTTTTCGTTGGGAAAGGGATCGAATTCCGGGCTGTATTGGTGATGAAATATTTTGAGATATCACTCTATTTTACATATGTTAATTGCTCACCTCCGCATATAATGACTCGATGAATATATTAAATCAACGGCTGAAAGTAATACAAAGTGCTCTTCGTTATCACAGGATTTTTGTATTAAATTTTACCGGTTAAAATATGTTTTGACATACGTTTTTATTCAAAGTACCCAATACGATGGTTAATTGAATCTTTCAACGGTTTCAAAAAGAATATCCTAAAAAAATCTATTTATAGTTACGGGAAAAGCAGAACGGTTTATGCTGAAACTAGTGTATTGTGAATTCATCTGTATACATATGTATATAATTGAAAATACTGACATGAAACCAAGATGTATATACTAAACACTTAAATACTTTCTTTCAAATTCAAACATTTGAATTTCTATTGTGTACTAAAGTGACTTCTAAAAGGGGTAAAAAGAAATGTTCTTCGTCTGAATCTCAGATTAAATTTAGCACCCAACAGTAGAAAAATTATAGCAATTATATTCAAAGGATTTTTGGTTTACTAATAAAAAAAAATTAGAAATGTGTTTTTATGAGATTTTCGTTGTTTTTGTAGATTTTAACTTCATTCAGTGTATCATGGCATATTATTAGTGAGTTTGTTTGGAATTAAGCACAAAGCTACACAATGGGCTATCAATGGACACCAGGTTTCTAGCGTTGTAAGTCCGCTGATATACCGCTGTGCCACAAGGGGGCATTTTTAGTAAGAGTGTAGACTTCATATCCCTCCAAGTATTAATTTTTTGTCTTTAAAACACTATGTATTTCCCCCATCTCCAGCTTTTTTACAGTTAAACGTTTGGTAAACAACATGGAAAATGATCTTGCAAAACTCGCAATTACCTCCGTAAAATGTTTTAGGTACTGCTGTATTTATATGTGCATATAAAACATTAATTAGTATTTCGGACAAAAGGCGGATTTCCTTTCACAACTGGAAACGCATAATTTCTGTCTGAATCAGGACGTGTGATATTTATAA